GTGCTCCCAGTCCTTGCCAGTTCATATGGTTATATAATCAACCAGGATTAGTTGAACTTTCTAGAAACAACAGCATTGCTACAGATAGACAAGTGGGGGGATTGCCCTAATGATCTTCAATTTGGAAAGTTCACCCTCATCATACTTTGCCATTCCCCTCCCGCTCTCCCATCTTGCTGGGCTCTTCAAGCATGCTGATCATTACTGCTCTCTCTTCCTTATTTTCATAGCCAGTTAGTCCCAGCTTCACTTCCTTCCCTCAGCCACAGTGAGAACGATTTAAAGACATTCTCAGGGCACCTGAATGGCTCAGTCAGTTGAGCATCTGACTTGGGCTCAGGTCATGATTTCACAGTTTGTGAGTTCAAGCCCTGCATCGGGCTCGCTGCTGTCCACACAGAGCTCACTTCCGATCCTTGTATCCCTCTCTCTCTCTCTCTCTGCTTTTCCCCTACATACACTCTCTCTTACACACAAAAATAAACATTTAAAAAAAAAAAAAAGACGTCTTCAACATCCTCTGTTGCCTCTCCTCTCCTGTTGTGCTCAGCCCATGCAAGCCTCTAATGTTGGATCCATGCAGCTCTGCACTCTCATTGTGGCCTCCCTCTCCTTCAGAACTAACCACTTGACTTCTGATCCTCATCCCATCCCTTCTTGCCCTGACTATATTTGCCTTCAGTTATCCTTCTGTGCTACTAAATCCAAGAACCCATTTTCGGTGCTTATCCTGTTTGACTATTCTGCAAAATTTGACACTATTGTTCCACTCTAGTTCTATTTAGAAAATAATTTGTTCCCTTATGGGAAAGTAATTCATTATCCAAAATTTAGAAAACACAAGTAGTAATTTATTTATTTATTTATTTATTTATTTATTTATTTATTTAATGTTTTTAATGTTTATTTATTTGGGAGACAGAGAAACAGAGCACAAGCAGGAGAGGGGCAGAGAGAGAGGGAGACAGAATCTGAAGGAAGCTGCAGGCTCTGAGCTGTCAGCACAGAACCCGTTGTGGGGCTCTAACCCATGAACTGTGAGACCATGACCTGAGCTGAAGTCAGACGCTTAACTGACTGAGCCACCCAGGCACCCGCACATAGTAATTTAAAAACTCCCAAAGACAGGGGCGCCTGGGTGGCTCAGTCAATTAAGTGTCCGACTCTTGGTTTCAGCTCAGGTCATGATCTCGCAACTTTGTAGGTTTGAGCCCCACATCGGGCTCTGTGCTGGCAGCACAGAGCCTGCTTGGGATTCTCTCTCTCCCTCTCCACAGCCCCTCCCCCACTCGTGCTGACTCTGTCTCTGTCAAAATAAATAAACTTGAAAAATAAAAAAAAAAGAAAGAATACTTTCACAGTGTATACATATATCAAATCATCATGATGTACACATTAAGCATGTTATAAATTTGTCAGTTCTACCTCAGTAAAGCTGGGGCGGGGGGAAGATCAGTAGTTGCCAGATCTGAACATGGATGGAGGAATGAACAGGTGGAGCACAAAGGATTTGAGAGGCACTGAAACTACTCTGTATGATACTCTAATGGTGGATACATGTCATGACCCCGTTGTCAAAACCCATAGAATGTACAGCATCACGAGTAAACCTAATGTAAACTGTGGACTTGGGATGATAATGATGTATCAGTGTGGTTTCATCAGTAGGAACAAAAGTACTACTCTGGTGAGTGATGTTGGTCCTGAGAGATGTTGAGGTGCATGTGTGGGGGCAAGAGATGTATGGGAACTCTCTGTACTTGCATTCATTTTGCTGTGAACTTGAAACTGTTCTAAAAAGTAAAGATTATTTTTAAAGTAAAGAAACAAAAACTCCCATAGGCAAACAATTCAGAGAGGACTACTTTGTTTGGTTATCATTTTTCTAGGATTTTCCAATGTATATAGTAAGTGTTTGTACACCCACAGACATCCACACTCTTGTCACTTAATATGTTAAAATTTTCCACATTAACAAATATTCTTCTATAGCATGATTTAAATTAGATGGATAATATTCCACTGTGTAGATGTGCTATGGTTTACTCAACCTACTCCCTCTAGTTGAGTATTCAGGTTATTTCTAATATATCACTATCATTGGTAATGGTATGATTTACACATTTATATGTAAACTTTTGTGTATAGCTATGATAATTACCATAGAATAAATTTCTAGACCTAGGAATTGGTCAAGGGTATTTATACATTTTGGACTCTGGATACACATCAGTAAATCTATTTCCAGAAAAGTTGTAGCAATGTATTCACACGTTAGAAATGCTACAAAGCATGGAGGTTAAGAGAATGAGCTTTGGAGTTCTTTTTCCTCCCTGTCACTGACCCTGTGTTCATCTTTCTGCCCAAAATATCATGTCCCAGTTTTCAGCCCTTTTGTGTCTTCCTTGAACAAGTTCTTCCCTGGTGATTTTACTCAATCAATTAGAACCAGAGGCTGATGACATCAGGATGAGTCCCTAACCGCCCTCTCCCCTGCCATCTCAATTATAACTTGAACTCAGGATCATCTCACTCAAACTTCCTGTATTCCCCACATCAAGGGACTCCAGCCACTCTTACTCAAACCAGAGACTTCCATGCTATCCTCAGGAGGGATGGAAGAACACATACTCTCAGCTCCCCAGAATAAAAACTTCTTTTGGGGAACTACAATAATTTTTGGTAAACAGAATTCTTGCTTATTTCACTGGCAAACAGCCTAGGGTTTGTTTTTCTCCCCACCAGCCTCTCAAGCCGTCTCTGTCCTGGTTTCTTTCACTCACTGCATGTTCCTTGTCTTCTTGCACCATGACCTCTCTCCTCAGCTGCTTCAGATCTCCTAGGAAGGGTTAGAGTGGGGCCATGGTGGTCCCAGAGCTGGCAGAGCAATCGTGCCTCCTTCTCAGCATCTCAGCACCGGTTCAGGACAACCGACAGTTGTGTGTCCGTTAGCAAAACAGACCCACACATTCCAGTGCTGCTCTGGCCAGTCCAAGTCTGTAGCTTATACCTCCTAGACCTGGAAAATCGACTTCAATCTCCTCCTGCTCACTAGCATCGCTGTAATTCAGACTTTTAGCCTTAGGGAGAGGAGGAAAACCACTTTGTTTCTTTTGGAGGGTAACTTTGATGGATGTGTTTTTATTGTTTGATTTCCTTTGAACCAGTCTCTCCAGTTTCAAGGCAGATATCAGAGTCTTATCTGAAAGGGAGGATGTTAACAATACCTACCTGTAAGGTTGTTTTAATAAGTAAATGAGATAATGTTCGAGAAGGTGCCGAATAGGGTGCCGGACATGAAGCAAACACCCAGCAAATGTTAGCTCATCATCGTCACTGTCATCCCTGTCACTGAAGACTCACCTGTAAGGATCTAAAGCTGCTCTTGATTTCTCTAAACAGAGTCAGTTGCTGGTTTTTCTATAGTGTTCTGAACATTCGTTACTTGGACACTTATTTTATCTTAACTATTTCTATCTTCACTCTACATTGTGAGCTCCTCAAGCAACTGTTTAACTTCATTTTTATATCCTCAACTTCATTTTTTTTTTAATTTTTTTTTTCAACGTTTATTTATTTTTGGGACAGAGAGAGACAGAGCATGAACGGGGGAGGGGCAGAGAGAGAGGGACACACAGAATCGGAAACAGGCTCCAGGCTCTGAGCCATCAGCCCAGAGCCTGACGCGGGGCTCGAACTCACGGACCGTGAGATCGTGACCTGGCTGAAGTCGGACGCTTAACTGACTGCGCCACCCAGGCGCCCCTCTCAACTTCATTTTTATATCCACACCAGCAATGTGTCTGGTGCATAGGAGGTGGTAGATAAATAGATACTGGAAGAATCTTGACTCTTAGCTCACACTATTCTCGAGAATCATTTCCAGTTTGATTGCAGATCTAAATGTGAAAGGTAAAACTATAAAGATTCTAGGAAAAGAATAGGAGAATATCTTCATGGTCCAGGAGCAGAGGAAGATTTCCTGAACAAAACAAAACAAAACCAAAAAAAGTACTTTAAAAAAAGAAACTTACATATTGGTATCAAGAATAGAAGACATCTGGAAGATTATTTTCTCAGAGGAAAACCAAAACAATCCAAACATAAAATTTAGGTGTGTAAATTAACTTTCAATTTCAGATGTTTTAAATGTGTATCTCTTAAGTGCTACAATGAATATTTTAAAATATTACAGTACCTTTTTACCCCAATAATCATGATCTAAAACCTTGATATCTTATTGTTTTTCCTATAGTACTGGGATGGCAGGATGACCTTTCTCACTAGAACTCAAGGTCATATGAACTCACCAATGCCCTGTCAGTCTTTAGTAGCTCTTATCTAACAGTTCAGATGTGGACCATCAGTTTTAATATTACATGGAGCTTTTACTGAATGACGTTTGTTGATCCTGGTTACTATACCTTCATATTTTAAATATGTCATTTGACAGCCTTCTAGAAGAAAGAAGATCTCTGAACCTCTACATTTATTGTATATTTTTGCAACTTCAATTTTTTGTATATTATTTTATACATAGTAAATTAGTGATGTTAAAAATATAGAGTATTAAAACTAATTATACATATGGCAGCATTATAGGTTCAAAACACTTTTACTAACAGATGTGCCCATTGACCATTGGTTTAATTAAAATGCTTTATACTCAGGGCAGAAACAGTTGCCAGAATTTTTGTCTGGTAGTATGATCATGATCAAGAGTTTTACACTCAGTTCTCTGTGGCTGCAGGGATTGGGGGAGGTGGTGTTGACATGGGGTCATTTGGTTGATTCATATTTGGTAGGGACTTGATCCCCTTAGGATGTTCATAGTGATGTTTTAAATTAAAAGAGACAGGTGAGTGTATGTTTTAAAAAATAGATTATAATGTATCTTTTTAAAAGTGATCTTAAAATGTCTATTATGAAGAGTGGTAAGCTGTAAGTCAGAAATGGGTAAATGTTGCTTAATTTTAATTAACTATTTTCTTATATCCTAGGCTGACCAGATATCTGGTTTTCACATAAGATCTGTTCTCTGTGTCCCTATTTGGAATAGCAACCACCAAATAATTGGTAAGACATTACCTAAGTAGTTCAAACTTCTTTTATAAAGACAAATTTACATTACAATACACCTTATCTTTTTTACCTGCTCGCCCCTTTTACACTTGATCTTACTGAAAAGACCAAGAATTGATACCTGCTCCCCTCTTTTATGTCCAGGACTCGTCAGCCTATGTTTCATTCTTTTGTTTAATCTCATAAGTGCAGACTCCTAGTGAATCAACATTAATCCGAACAATGAACAAATATTTATTCTTTTAACCAAGGACCAATAATTTTGAAGTTGGAGGAGATCTCAGAAATCAACTAATAGGACTTTCGTATCTTACCTTGTAGAAATTGAGGTGGGGGTATCATGCAAAGGCCAGAATAAAATCACAGAGGGAGTCGGTAGCAGGGTAGAGATTAAAAGTCAGGGCTCCTAACTCCTATACAGACTTTCCATTACATCTTTATGTTTACATCTATGCTTTTACACACAGAGTACGTGCAAAGGAAAAAGAACATGTATTTTTTTTTAATTTTTTAATGTTTATTTATTTTTGAGAGAGAGACAGAATGCAAGCAGGGGAGGGTCAGAGAGAGAGGAAGACACAGAATCTAAAGCAGGCTCCAGAATCTGAGCTGTCAGCACAGAGCCTGACCCGGGGCTTGAACTCATCTATGGCGAGATCATGACCTGAGCCGAAGTCAAATGTTCAACTGACAGGGCCACCTAGGCACCCCCAAAACATGTATTATTAGACATATACTGAGCATGCATCTTTCTGTTTGGATGATTCTAAAATAGGCTGTACTTGACCCGGAATATGGAACTGTGGTCCAAAGGAGCTTCTAAGTTTTCTCTACCTCCTGTTCTTCTTTCCCTCCCCTCAAAACCTCAGTCAGGAAAGTATCAAACCTAAGGAAGAAGTCAGTGGTTAGAGAAGTCATAAAGAGTGAAGGAGTTAGTTAAAATTATTGAAACACAATTAAAACATGATTTTTTTTTCCTAGGGGACTAGTTACTAGTGCATCTATTTGCCTCTCTTCGCTTCCCCCTGACATTGCCTGTTAAACTGAAAGACACTGCTGCTTATCAAGAACTTAGTCTTCTGTCAATATTGTCAAGACTTGAGCCATAACAGAATTTTTTCATCCATTTGCTTAATTTATAGAAAAATATTGATATATTAATGAACACAGAATATTCTAAGATTAGTGTCCAATGGCAATCTCAAATCTAATCCTAGCTTTTCATTCCTTTCTTTTTAACTTTTATTTTTATTTTTTATTTATTTTGAGGAGGGGTGGCAAGTGGGGAAGGGACAGAAAGAGTGGGAGAGAGAGAATCCCAGGCAGGCTCTGAGCTGACAGCACAGAGCCCAACTCAGGGCTCGAACTCACGGACCAGGAGAGATCATGATCTGAGCCAAAATCAAGAGTCAGACGCTTAACTACTAAGCCACCCAGGTGCCCCATAGCTTTCATTTGTAACAGTAAACATCTGTTATGCTTTCAAAACTAAGACTGCAGTTTGCCTACTACATGCTAAAAGATTTGTGTTTCATTACATATGTCTTCTAGCATATGATGACTTACCTCCCTAGTGAGAAGTTAGGTATTTTAAAAAACACAACCATGCTTTAGAATTATAGCTATTTTTTTGTTTGTACTAAATGGGGACACAGGAGAATGTTTTTCAAGATTGTTCAGTTTTTCTGGTTAGAGCTGTATGTTTTGAGACATCTGGCACAGTGCTGGAAATGAACTTTGGAAAGAGGAAGTGTACGTAAATTAAGTTTGTTAGAACTGTATGTACCTCATTGGTAGCAGAAGCAGAACTAACCTTGCTTTGAAGATTGACGGTGTCCTAATTCCCAACTTCTTTAATGTTCACTTTAAAACATTCCAACATTATCTCATTTATTTTTTTCTTTAAAGTTTATTTATTTATTTTAAGAGAGAGAGAAAGCACGAGTCAGGAGTGGCAGAGAGAGAGGGAGAGAATCCCAAGCGGGTTCCACGCTGTCAGCAGGGAACCTGATACGGGGCCTGAACCCACGAACCGTGAGATCATGACCTGAGCTGAAGTCAGATGCTTCATTGACTGAGCCCACCCAGGCGCCCCCAAACATTATCTCATTTAATCTTCCTAACCCTCTGAGATAGTTAACGTTTTAATTCCCACTTTACAGATGAGGAATTTTAGTGCTAAAAAAGTTAGGTAACTTGTTTAAGGTAACAGCTGTGGTGGAGTTGAAATGTGAGCTGAGACAGTGTGACACCAGAGCCCATGTTCTTAATCACTATGCCACCCTGCCTCACTCAAGCACTGTGTTCCAGGGGACTGAAAAAATAAAAAAAATTATATATATACATGCACACACATGTGTATTTACACAGTTAAGCTCAATTATGTATCTAATTGCATGTATGTGTATGTCCATGTGTATATATGTGTCCGATAGATCAGAGTGATTGTGCACAGTCATCTCGAAAAACATTTTCAAGGATTCAGACTGATGCCTGGTAGAGCTTTAGGCTTCACTGTGAGCCAGTTTGGATATCACAACCTTGAAGATCGACTGCATTGCTGTATACCTCAGATCCCCTCTCCTAAAGACAGCATGCACTAGGGAGACCAGAGATTAAACTGAGTGTCTGAAGTTACCTAGGGGAGGTATGGAGTCAGCCGGGGCTTATTATATTGTGGTAACACAGTGAGCAGTGCTGAAACTGACCACATAAACCAAACTCTTCCCACAGGAGTGGCTCAGGTGTTAAATAGACTTGATGGGAAAGCTTTTGATGACGCAGATCAACGACTTTTTGAGGTAAGAAAATAAATTTGTGAACCAAAAGTTATAGCTGAGTCATCTATAGTCTCCTGGTAGCAGTTTGCCAAAATTTGTCAAGCGTTTATATATAGTCGTGAGACCTTGAGCCAGCTCTGCCGGCTGTATGGCCATCACCTTCCTTGGGTTTTCAAGCTTCCATATATTCCCATCTGCCCTCTACCTGGAAAGGTTGGCCTGGAACAGGCTTCCCTATAAACTTTGCACTAACAAATAACCAACATGAAACTCCCACGATTATTTTTCTCTAGCCAAGAACATCTCACAGCTTCTTTACTAACTGGTTCTAAATCTACCTTCCTTCCTTTTCACGTTTACCTCATGGGTATTGTCACTTGGTTTCCTCATCAAAATACTTTATACCCTAGCCACTAAAAAGAGGTTGCTTTAGTTAAATGGAATGGAATTACTAAAATCAGTCCACGATCTAAATGAATTAAGAACACATTTGGTAAGACTGTAAGTATGTTTTTAAATTTACAAAGTCATTTTTTCCACAATGACATGAAATTAACTATTTTTTCTCATGTGCAATGTGAGCTATAAAGCTGTTACATGACAATAGTAATTAAGAATTTTAATGTGCGTATTTCCCCAAGGCCTACCTCTGTGTACAATAAAATTATATTTTCAGACCCATTTCTGATGAGTGCCTGCTTTCATATTAGATTATGCCAGTGAGTTATTGCAGTTTTTAATTAGTGGGCTTTCTCTTTCCTAGGCTTTTGTCATCTTCTGTGGCCTTGGCATCAACAACACAATTATGTACGATCAAGTGAAGAAGTCCTGGGCCAAACAGTCTGTGGCTCTTGATGTAAGTCAGTATTTATGTCCGAATCACATGCTAAAAAGCCCTAATTTTATGAGAGAAAAAAAGCCCTTATTATGGGCCTTAATTTCTCAATTTTTAATTACCTATTCATTGGGCTTTAATTATTCTAGAGTCATGGGTTTGGCTCTGATGAAAGCCAGACCCACTCTTAACAATGCTCATATGCTCACAATTTTGCATGCAATTTTAGGGAGTGCACAGATTCCTTGAAGGCCATCCATATACGTTGTACAGTTAGATACAGATTTTATGTGTTAGGTTTATTAAAAGGGATGATCCAAAAAATAAATTGTCAGGATGTTAAATGCATTATGAACTTATTTTGAATATGTATAGATAGTCTGGAAATGCACAACTTCTCATACCACAGAAGAAAACTTCACTAGAAAGACATGTGACCCAGGTGGGGACAGGCTGCTCCGGGCATTATCTAGCTCCCCCACTACACATGTATATATCCCACCGAGAGCTCCGACCTGTTTCCCAGGCCTGACCTGCATCTCCTCTCAGACTAGGTTCTAAGACTATAGTGCTCTCCCCTGAATCTCCTTGTTTTGACCCAAGACCTATTGTCCCAACTTCTAGTCTATAGCCATTATCAAAGATTTTTTTTTCTATCTGTGAAATACTTCTTAACTAGGGCAGATAAAATATCAATGATATGTGACATTATCTAGAACATGATAATATAATACATGTACAGTCTTCAAAGTATTCTGTGTAACAAGTGAGATATTGGTAGAAAGATAAAACCGAGGGAGAGGATAAGTAAGCAACACAGTGGTACCTGAAGTACTCTGATTTAAGATTTAAAAGACCTAAAATTAGTTATTTACCGATATACTTTTCTACCCTTAATTAGGCCATGAACCGTGGAAGCACAGGGATTTTATCTTTTTTATAATCTTATTCCCTAGTGCCTAGCAGGGCACTTAGCACAGAGAATGCTTTTATTTAATGGTTTGGGGATCGATGGAGGAGGGGAGGAAGAGACAGAAAGAGGAAGGAAAGGATGGAAGAAAGAGATTCCCCTGCCCAACGAAAAGGATTTTTTTTTTTTGGCTCTCCCTCGGAGTCCTGCTTTGTTTATATGTAATATCTTTACAACAAGGAATAAAAATAATACATCCAGGATGAATTAATAAGTAAATGAACTGTGGATATGCAACGAATAAGAATCACTAATAGACCATTAGGTCTATGTGCAGAAGTATTTTCACATCCTGACTCCGTCACCTACCTCAAGTGTGAGAATTAAATGAGATAAGAGAAGATTTTAATACTCCATCAACAAAATTACAGTAATGACAATAATTGCTATATTATTACTTGCAGTAATGTGTTTATTACTGAGAAACCACCATAGACTGTGAGAAAGAACAAAGGACAGGGATTTGGAACAGCAAATGTTGTCATGACTCCACCATCTTCAAATTTTGACCTCCACAGGGTTGCCTCACTCAGCTTTTGTTTCTTTAAAAACTTTAGTTTCTGCATCTGTAAAAAAGGACACACTATACACTAGTCCCACACAAACTCTACTTCATGTTGTCGTGTTGGACTTCACACATACAGAGCATCTCATATATACCCACATACGCACTCCTCGCCCACCTCCTGGTGGGTCTCCATCCTGTTGGGAAGGGGGTGGAATCAGTGGGTTGAAGCAGGAATTGCCATTCACCAAGGAGAGGCCACTCTCTGACTGGCACCACCGCTAGTCCTCGACCTAGAAAGTTCTAATACAGCCACAGTGTCCTCACCCATGAATTGCTCATTTGGGTTCATAGACCACTCTGACACCTTCTGCCCTGACATACAAAAATTATTACTGACACTCCCAAATTTCCAGCCCAAGTATTGTGGTAGTCTCACCCTTTCAGAAGTTGCTTGTATGTGTGGACTTACATGTTCTGTGTGCTTTCCTGATCAGAATTCTGGTGTTGCCATCTTGGTTTCCTCCCTCCCTGCTCCACTCAACCCCTACCCCACCAGATACCACATTCCCATCTCTAATGATCGGGTGGCATCCACCCCACTCCCTCATCCAGGAATGCATATGCAAGAATATCTGGAAGGATTTCTTATCTCAGGGCTTTACAAAGACAAAAAATGATTTGTTGAGAACTACTAAACCCAAACTCAGGAGTGACATCTTCTTGTACTATAGTATACATTAGCTTCTGAATGATTATATATTTTTAAAATTTATGTATTTATAAATATTATAGATGCATGTGAATAATATAATTTAAGGTGCATATTTCTATTAAAAGTATGTATTTATAACCAGCCTATTCCAATAAAGGATTTAAGCTACTTGATAGGAATGTAAATGATCCAACAAATGTTTTAAGGTAAAGTAATGATGATGATGATGATAATAACAACAGCAACAATAACAGAGGGGAGAGAGAGAGAGAGAGAGAAAGAGAGAGAACACACTAACCAGAGGGGACAGAACCACACACAGTGCTATCCTTATATCATCTCCTCCTTCTCCCCAAGAATGTAGGGTGACCTTCCCCTTTTTTTCCATTGTGGCTAAGGGAAGATTCCTCACTTGGATCTGGGCAGGCTCCTCTTCCACTCGTGTTGTCTCATTTTTACTTACTCTCTTCAGGCTGTTTTCTGCTTGATCTTGCATAAGATCTTTGTCTAAGTGTAGCTTTACCATCCCCATAATCTTTTTGCAGTGTGTTTTTTTCAGCTGGCAACCAGAGTGAGGGGAAGTAATCCATCCCACAGCCCCCAGTGACAATAACCACCCCAGAAGGCTTTCCCTCCCCAGAAAGCGAGCACACGTATTTCATGGCCTGGAGAGGTAATGTGAGTACATTTTTTTCCTGTGTGTTCAGGAGACTCTTGAGAGATAGCACAGCATTCTCTTGTCTTTTAAGAATCCTTTCTCTCAGGCATTTTTAATAAAAATACTACCTTGGTGCGTTCTCTGGAAGTATTTCCCCTGTTCTCTGGGAAGTTTACGTCTTACGGATACTTGCCGAAGTGTCCAGGGTTCACAGGAAGTGCACTTCTAAGGCGCATCTTGCTGTGTATCAGTATCCCCTGTAGGAAGCTGCTGGCTTTATCTGAGCGAGAGGCAATGCGAGGAAAAGATTTAGAGCCTTGTCTTTTACATTAGTCTGATCAGTCTAGTTAGGACTGAATCTGTGTTCAGTAGCTGTGGATCTTAGGGAAGCTACTTAACTTCGCAATCTCAGTTGTTGCACGTGTTAGATGGGTTTGGTAAGAAAGGTGTTTTAACAGGGTGATAAAACAGTTGCAGGAAAAGTATTTAGAGAGTGTTTAGTTACAGTTAGCACTTAATAAAAGCTGGCTGTTCTATTAACCAGAGCGCTTGCTGCCCTTAATCTGCACTGAGTTCTGAATGCTCTGCCCAAGAATTGCTTATAAAACTGCTCTGATTGAGGGGCTGGGGAGGAAGTGTAATTTTTTGCCCCTTTTATGAGGAAGATCGTTTCCTGCTTAAAGTTTGAGCTGAAGACAGATCCCCAATTTCCCAGATCCTGGGCACATCCTGTGTCCCACCACTGAGCATCCCAGCAGCATTGGAGCTATAGCTGCTGGGCTGCAGTGAGCCGCTGCTCGCCATTGCCCCCTACTCCTTGCCCCTACTGCTTGCCTCTGCTTCCCACTGCCCTATATGTTTCTACAGAAAAGACCAGGCACTGTAAATACAGAATTTCCCATGTTAAAAATAGCTATGCAGGTCTTCAAAAGCTGTACATCCCCAAGGGCAAAGCCTCCCCAGAAGACCTCCCATGCTATGGGGTCTCTTATCCATTGCCACATACTGGCAACTTCAGCTTATTTTAACCTAATCCACAAATGGTGAAAAATAAAAATATAAACATAAATATGCTTTCTACTTTTTTGGCCTTTAAAAAATGAAGTGACTAATACATTGTCTGGATTTTGTTTAACAATTGAATTATAAAGCACTATTATTTTGATTATTGCTTTTCTTAAGTTCTTATAATTTAGTTACGTAATTCTATTTAAAAGTCTGTTTCCTAAATATATAAAACTAATACTCTAAGACTCTTAGAGAGCTGAGATGCTCTTAAAGCTGAATAATGGAACAAAGAGGGGAATTTACTATCATTTTTCATAACTTTAATTGTTTTATCCTGATTTCCATTCTGTCTGAGTGCCAAGAGCTTCACGGGAAGTATACTAATGTATTTTCACATTTTCTGAGTGTAAGAATCCCAGGATAAAAGAGGGAAACTTCACCTGAAATTCCAGAATACAGAGCAAATACAACATGAATGGAAATCAGAATATTACTTCTTCATTTTGCACACCAAGAATTGTGCTTTGGGGTGTCTTTTATAGATATTGCAAATGACACCTTGCTGGATGCTGATGAGAAATTTTCCGGAAAATATAAGTCAGTGTATTAAGGGACACCTAATACCCCTCTATGACCAGATGAGGAAAGGGACGAGGGTCAGACAGAGGGTGTAGAAAGAGCATATGTAGTCAGAAGTCAAGCCCCATTTATTCTACCTCCTCAAAGCCTCTCCCATCCATTTCCTCCCTTCCAATGGCCATAGCAGCCATCCTACTTAAGGGCTTCCTTACCTCTTGACGGAACAATCGTAATACCCACCTGTCTGTTCTTCCTAAAGCGTATTTCACATTGCATCACTCACCCACTCATGGATCCTAAATTATTCCCCCATTATCTATCAGAGTACCAACTTCCTGGCCCTCGGGGCCCTTTGAAATTTCATATCAAACTGTCTTCCTGCCCCCGGCTCTCATTTCTCTTTTCAGAGCATTCTGTGCTACTTACAAATTCACCTACATCATAGTCTACAGATCAGCCACCTGCTTCTCTGCCATCTGATCTCTAACACCTTCCCTGCTTCAGTTATTCTCTGTTCCAATTATGCTGCCTCCCCTCAAAGTTGTTCTGTCATTCAAAGCTCAACTTAAATGTAATCTTTTCTATA